TGGATACATATAAGAAAAATTTAAAAAAATAAAAGAAACAATAGGACAGGGAGGGAAGGCACGTTGGCGTGCTTATGTACACCCCCTACAGACCTCTTAGGAAAGGGCTGAGGCCAATAGTAGGTTAAAGTTTTGGAGGTTTGGGGAAGAAACCACAGAGTCAGGTAGAGTATTCCAGACATTGACCACTCTGTTGCTGAAGTCGTATTTCCTGCAGTCAAGTTTGGTGCGATTAACCTTGAGTTTGTATCTATTGTTTGCTCTTGTGTTGTTATAGTTGAAGCTGAAGTATTCATTGACAGGTAGGACATTGCAACGTATGATTTTATATACTATACTTAGATCAGACCGAAGGTGGCGTAGTTCTAGGATTTCTAGGTCTAGAATTTCGAGTCTGATGGCATAAGGTATTCTGCAATGAGTAGAGGAGTGGAGAACTCTTCTTGTGAAATATTTCTGGACTTTCTCAACAGTGTTAATATCAGATACGTAATGTGGGTTCCAGACTGATGAGCTGTATTCGAGTATTGGTCTAGCAAATGTTTTGTATGCTCTAGTTATTAGTATAATATTACCAGAGAAAAAGCTACGTAAGATTAGGTTAACAACTCTTAACGCCTTTTTGGCTATGTAGTTACAGTGGGCTCTAGCACTTAGGTAATAGAGATGAGTACTCCAAGATCCTTGACAGAGTTTGGATCATCAACAAGGTCTTGACTATTCAGCCTGTATTTTATTTTCTGATTTATTTATTTTTTGCCAATATGTAGGACAGAGCATTTACTTGTTGAGATTTGAAGATTAAGATATTAATTCTCCTGTTGCTCCCTGCCCCTTCCCAAAATGAAACTCATGTACATTCAGTAAGGACTATTCTGGACTAAGAACATAAGGCCTCTTTGCTTTTTCATCAACAACAATCACTTGATGAAGAGTGTGTCTATTTTCTTCTCATACTTTACTATTAGCAAAAGGGTTCTTCTGTGATCTGCCAGAAGTGCTTCTATGGCAACAAAAAGCATTCAAGTATTGCTCTTGTTTTGTGACAATTTATCATTAAAAGCCTCTATTATATTTTTGGGAAGTAGATGAAAATGGTACATTAAGAATAACTAAAAGTGGAGAAAGCAACATACACCTCCCTCCTAAAAGCAGCAATAGATGAAACAGATACACAAGAAACTCCCCTGAACCAAAAAAACACACAAAACAACAACAACCCCACACTAAGACAATTGTTTACAATTTTGAGGCAGGAGAACACACATATGGGCCAGGGATATAGGGGAAGGTTTCTTTTAAAAATAATCTCTCTTCCATTACCAAATGTTATGTACCAGACCACCTCACTGGTGGTCTGCAAGAAAATTTTGGTGGTCTGAAGGGAAATGTCAAATGTCAGAAATGTCACCCCCAAAGCACCCCCCAAAGCAAGTAATCCAGGCTGCGCGGGAACACAAGGCTGTGCCGCTCACATGGCCCGCGGGAACACAAGGCTTGTGTTGCTTGCATTGCAAACAACACGAGGTAGTGAGGGGGGGGGAAAGGATGGAGGGGGGGAACTTGCCCCACTTGCCCCATGTGCCTCGCCTGGCCACCAGGCTGCTTCTTTCCGCTTCTTTCTTTTTCTGCTTTTGGCTGCATGCAAGGAAAGCAGCGAAGGTCTTTTTGTCTCTCCCCCAAACTCCACCAGAAATGTGTTTTTGGGACCCTGCAAGGCCTCCTGCTCCAAGAGGCTGCACCGGCGTGACAAGTCTCACAAAGAGTCATTTCTGGCGGAGTTTGGGGGAGAGAAAGAAAGACTTCTGCTGCTTCTGCTGCTTTCCTTGCATGAAGCCAAAAGTCTCTTTCTCTCTCTCCCCTTGAGAACGGAGCTGGAGATGGTATCCTGCAATCCCAAATAAAGAATGATTGATTGATAGAAAAACAGGGTGGGGAATTTTCCTGCAGACTTTTTGGGGGATTTTCCCAGGGTCTCTGGCCCGTGGGATTTAAAATTATGAGTTTGGTGGTCCCTGAGGTCCAAAAGGTTGGCGACCCCTGGCTTAGATCATCATAAAGACAGTGTCAGCCCTCTTGTACTCAGTTTTCATATGTTTGGTGTTTGAAAGAGAACTTGAAGAGTAAGGATTAAAACTTAAAGGTAGCCTTCCCCAACCCTGTCCTCTCCAGATGAGGAGTGGTATCGATACCTTTAATTCCCTAGCCAGCATAGTCAAATTTGAAATCTCACACATCTGAAAAACATCAAGTTGGGAAAAATAGAGGAGATAGAAGCTTTATTTTTAGAGTCATTCCCTCTACGTTTAGGAACAAAATATGTTAGATATTAAGTCTATGCATATACTCCATATTCACATATTAAGCAATGATTATTTTAGCAGCAATTTCCATTTGCCATTTCCTCTGATGGCAAATGGCAGCCACCATGAGAAATTTCATCAAAAGTACTATTCCAGCTACATCAAAGATGTGCAGTTTTGATTTTAAGAAATCAAAGTCTGATTTAACAGTGATAAAGCAGGTGCTTTAATCAACCTGGCACAGGTTAGATGAGAAATAAACAGAATGAAGTTGATGGTATCAGAACAGTCATGCAAGTATCAACTATGTACATTTGTCACATTCATTGCACTTTCAAGAAAGCAACAACAAGAAATGAGAAATATTTACAGTACACTATTTCAATAGAATTTATAACATTTGGAGCTCAGAACCCTGAAAGCAAATTTCTTATTTATGTCTGGAAAAGAGATTTGGTCAAAAGTGAAAATATCTTCTCTCTCAATTTCTTAAGAAGAACTGATTCTGTCTTCAGGTACAAGTCAATTCCATCCGATGAAGTGATGTGAAGTTCAAGGAGTATTTCAAGCTTCATATGAAGAGAGAGAATTTTGCCAATACATTCAACATTCACATTGAAATAACTTCTGAGATGTGAGTTATAAAAGAAAGCCCAGTCTCTAGTACTACAAATATGGAACGGCAACTGATAATTAACAGAATAGCAGATTTGGAAGGCACCTTGTAGGTCATCTAATCCAACTCCCACTCCCGCTCCCAAGCAGGAGACCCCCTACACCAGGGGTCCCCAACCGCCGGTCCGCGGACCGATACCGGTCCGCGGAACAACTCTTACCGAGCCGCTGGTTGCTGGGCGCCGCCATCTTTTTTTGGTAAAAAAGTGCTTCCGGTGAGCTTTTCCGGGTAGAAAGCTCACCGGAAGCACTTTTTCATCAAAAAAAGATGGCGGCGCCCAGTTGATGCCGGTACCGGGCCGCGGTGCCCAGCTGATGCCGGTACCGGGCCGCAGCGTCAAAAAGGTTGGGGATCCCTGCCCTACACCATTTGGCAGTCCAGGCTCTTCTTAAAGACCTCCAGTGATGAAGCTTCCACAACTTCTGAAGGCAAACTGTTCCATTGGTTTATTGTTCTCACTGCCAGAAAAAAAATCTCCTTATATTGAAATTGAAAAATACTTCTTGATGGAAGATTAAAAAATGGAAATTGATTTGTGAAGGTATCAAAATTGTAAGGCTATTCCATCAGAGTTGAAAATTGATATATAATGTTCAATATACTAATAAACAGGGCTTAGTTAGCAGTGATTGCATATTTAAGCATTATCCCTTAAAAGCAGCTAGAACATCAAACAGAAGCAATCTAAGTCATGTATATAACTATGTGGATACAGGAAGATCCAAAGGTGTTTTTTCCAAAAGGAAACCGGACTTTCTTTTTTTTTTTTTCTTTGAAAACATTTCACAAAATGAAAAGCAAAATGTTTTCAAAGAAAAAAGAAACCAAGAAAGTCCAGCTACCTTTTGGAAAAAGCACCTTTGAGGAAACCAGGACTTGGATGATTAAGAATCTCCAGTGATGATACAGGTAAAGAGTTTTCCATTTGCCCAGAGAAAGCAAGTAAATATTAGCAAAGTTGTCCAACATCAAAAACCAGAAAAGGAATGTTAGTTTATTCAAGCCTCTCTCAAAAAGAGAAATGATATTTTTTTAAAATCTCAAGTTGTTCAATGATTAAAATAGAAATCCTGGTAAAGAATTACTGGCCATTGAACTTGCTTTGCCTTTGAGCTGTAATTGCTGATAGCTATGTATGTTAGGAACCTACAAGGGATTATTTGTATTTGTGTGTGTGTGTGTGTGTGTGTGTGTGTGCGCGTGCGTGTGTGTGTGTGTGTGAGAGAGAGAGAGAGAGAGAGAGATGGAGAAGGAGGAGAGAAATGCTAACTTAAAACAAAAGTGGGGGTGCTAACAAATATGTATTATGAATTGTTACCTCTCCTTAGCTCTGATACCATCTTGCTAAGAACAGATTTGTTTAGATATGAAGTTGCATTAACTGATCAAGCCTGGCTGTTCTGTGGCCTCTAAAACTCTTTTAGAGAAGGTTCTCTGAAGATGTTTTCCATCTATCAACTGAATTCCACAGATCATTAGGTGAGGACCAACCTGAATCCAAGCCATTCCCAGCTTAGATCCCCCACACCCCAGCCCCAAGCCTTAGTTAAGACAGGAAAGTAGAAATTAAACTCTTTAGGGTCCCATTGTAAAGTGTTGAAGTACTTGTCTGCTGTAAGACTTATTCATAGGATATTCTGATCTGCAATGAATGTTCCAAGAGGAGAAGAGCCACATTGTTTGGTCTGTAACCTGACAGAGTAATTTCCTTTACAGCAAATTGATAAGTGGGAACTTTCTTTCAAACCCTTAAAATAGCTCAAAGAATATACAAGATCTTCCAAATATTTTGGATCATACACATTCTCCAAGATAGCCCAAAGTGTTTCTGAAAAATTTATCCATTTCTTGTATGGTTTCAAATTGTAGGGTGTAAGGTGCACTGAAAAAAATCAAAGTCTTAACTTCTCAAAATTCTCAAAATTCATGAAGCCTGTCTAAGTGTACAGATGCCAGCCTTGCAAATAGAAGATGATCTAGATAAGCAAATGTAATGCCGTCAAAGGAGAATAAAAACTCACCATCCCAGCTACATGAAAGGTTCTTAATTTGCTTGGAGTGGAGATGTTCCTCCTCCTCAGGGATAGTGGGGAGAGCTTCCATAGCTTGATAACTCTTGTAACTTTGGTAGGCTTCATGGGAGGTATCCTCAAAGTATTCCTCCGAGGTGTAGGGGATGGTTCCTTTCTGCTCAGGCCAATACAAATCAAGATCTGAAGATTCAGGTGAAGCAAGATCTTGATAGGATGATGAAGAATGATGAGATTCCTCACTCTCCTGACTTGAAATACTGTCATCATCAGAAGCTACAGAGTAGCGTTCATAAAGCCCATCACTGTCTTCTAAATCCTCATCTTCCCCATCAAATTCATTTTGATCTGGTTTGCTTCCCAGATTATTCAACGAAGAAGATAAGGATTCTCCTGCTTGCTGGAAAGCTTCATAGACTCGAGATATCCAGGAGGAAAAAGGCTGGAAGAAGCTTAAGACATCCTCTGAAGCCATACTTTTATATATTTAATGAGCAAAACCTGTGATGGTCATAAATTCCAGCTGTTCCTCTTTGCCAGTGTATCAGATTCAGTGCTCTGTGAGCTACAGAATAAGCATTACAAGAAATTAGTTTGAATCATCTGTTGTTCTTAACAATGGTCTTTGTTAATCAGTAAATCTAGCTAAGAAGATAGAACCCAAGAAAAAGAAGCACCCAGGCAGTATTTGATTTTACTCTAAATGCATTGAAGTAGAGAATGATTGTGAACAATGCTCATAAGTACTGTATGTGATTGGTAAGGCCTTAATTAAATCTCACCGCACATATTTATTCATATGAAAGGTGCTAGATTGAAACCCTAGCAAATCCACGAAGGGCTAAAAAAACTATCTTGATGGGTTATTGCAAGTCTATGTAGATAATAAGGAGACAGGAGGCACTTATGGTCAGATTAATATAAGGCAGATTCATCCTAAGTGGCAAGCACAACTAAATCAAAACAGCTGGAATAAATCCTGAATACAAATCAATGGAACACTCAACAGTTTTGTATCACTATTTGGTTTTTTTTTTAAGGCAAACTACCTTTATCAGCACGCTGTTAAAACCTCCAAGCAAAACAAAACTTCCAAGCATCAAACTATTTCTTGCTATGCATATCCTTATGGGTACAACCTATTAAGTTGCCCAAGCTGTCAACTGCTATTATGAATCCAGCTTGCCTGCAGCATTTGTAGAACAAAGTTATTTGCAGCCAAGAAAGAAGCAGATGAGATTAGACAGTCCTCACACAGATGTAATTCAACTGACATTAACAATTGATACTGAACAGGCTCATATTTTATATTAGGTCTTGATTTATCTAATGATGGTTTATAAATCATAATAGCTGGATTCACATGATATGTGTTAATGGATTAAGAAGTTTAATACACTTTACTGATAACTGGTAGGATGAAACTCACTAATAGAATACGAAGACTGATGAATATAATTTATACAAAAGAAACAAGCCAGATAAAAAGAAGGTGAGGAAAGATTGGCATTATATGTGAAGGAAATAAATGTTATATATTAAGATCCAGGAATTTGAATGCAATTTTAGAGTCCAGATGAGAGAATCTGAATAAGAATACAAGGAAAGAAAACAGTAAATATATTATTCTAAGATATGTTGTTAATTGTCATGCTGATCAATCAATCTACATATTGCCCTCCTTGACCAGGATGTATAGTAAGATGCAACAATAATAACAGAAGCCCCTTCAACTACCTGTACCCTTCTGGAAAATGAAGTCAGACAAGAATCCAAGATCCCAAAAATTCTTTCACACTTGTTCAATTTTTAGAAAGAACAGCGAAAGCTAAAAAGGATAAATTGCTCTAGATTTGATCCTAACCAGTATGGAAAACTTAGTTGAAGAGATAAAAGCAGATTACTTTGATAGACAGTAATCATGTCATCCTGGGGTTCTGGCATACTCATTCATGCATTCTAACAGGTCAACATTAATCCTTTGAGAATACTAGGTACAAACTCACATGCAGAAATCCTCAGGTCAAGGGAAAAAAGGAAAGCAGGAACTGAAAGTATAGTTGCACACAAGTCTAATGATAAAATGAGGATGAGGGGGAAGGCAATTTAGGAAGTTTAAATAGACACATATACAAATGGGTATACTTGTCAAAGTGTATCAACAAATAGCAATTACCTGCAGAAAGAAAATTAGAAAATTTAAAACACAAAAGACAAGGTACACTAGAAGCAACAAAATGGGCTTTTTGGCTTTCAGTATTTAGAGGAAGGAAAAAAAAGAAGGGGTCATACAAGAAAATGGTAGGATAGTAACAGCTGACAGAAAGGAGACAGAACTCTACAATTTCTACTTTGCATCAGTAATCTTGCATCTTAATTTCAGCAAACTATTTGATTATGTTTCCCATGGGAATCTAGGAGTGGTCTACATAGCTGGTTATACCCAATGAGCGCACATTAACTGCTTTGCAACAAACCGAAAGGAAATATTGAGTGCTCTACTGTAGGGCTTCATTCAAAATATTTGAATATTTGTTGTTCAAAATATTTATAAATGATTTCATTGAAGACAGAATTATTATAAATTTGTAGTCAACACAAAAATGGGGAACAGCAACTACTTTAAAGAAAAGTATCAAACTTCTGAAAGATGTTAAGCTGAAATCATGGATAGAGATCAGCAAAATGAATGATAACAGCAACAAAATGTTGCCGAATTATAGAGGTGATTCAATTTGTACCAACTATTCCAAGACCTTTTCCATACATGCGAAAAGGAGCCCTATTTTATATACCTGGATGGTTGGTAATTCTGAGAAGCCATTTGCATTTGTCTCTATTAAATTTCACTGTGTCAGTTTCAGCCCATTTCTCTAACCTTTCAAGATCACTTTGAATCTTATTTCTGTCTTCTAGGACAGGGCTCTCTAACCTTGGCAACTTTAAGACCTGTGGACTTCAACTCCCAGAGTTCCTCAGCCAAAGCTGGCTGAGGAACTCTGGGAGTTGAAGTCCACAAGTCTTAAAGTTGCCAAGGTTGGAGACCCGTTCTAGGATATTGGCCATCCCACACAATTTTGTGACAATTGATATACCTTCTACATCTTCATCCAAGTCATTAATAAAAATATGAAAGAATAAAGTGCCTTTTCTTCAGTCATATATAGTTTAACATTCTACCTCATAAACAGTCACAGCAGATACTGGCACCTAGCAACCTTTGCCGAGTTCAAAAGCTATGCAAAGCTAGGTCTAGATTGGGACATTACTAGAAAATCCTATAGACATAATGTTGACCCTTAACCTACATTGGCATATTCATGTAGTCACCAGGAATCAAGCTCAATGCAAGGATGCATTTATCCTACTCATCTGCTCTTTTCATGACTTATAAAGTTTTTATATCTCTCTATTCACTTAATTGCTATTCACAGTAATGGGACCTGGCAAGACATCCATGCATTGATATCAAAGATATCTGGAAGGCACCCATACTAGAAGCCAGTCAAAGTAATGGGGGAAATGGAACATGGTACAGTTAAGGCAGGGAAATGGTTGCTCCGCAGAAACCACCCTGCTTTTGACAGAAGATCCTCTTTGCTTTGGTTTTAGTGCATGGGTAGGAATGTAAACAAATAAAACTTGACTGCCCCAATCACATTTAGATCTTGATAGATTTGACTTAGAATTTCAAAAGTCCAAAACTCCTTTCAAAATAATGCAGCCCACTCACACCTAGTTTTTCAGCCAACTTTCCTTTTGCTGTGCTACGTTCGTTGCATCCCAATTGGAGCTGTGCTTTTCCCTGCCCCAACCCCCAGCTAGTATAATCCACCTGCTTTCAAAAGCTGTGGTTAGAATCAATACAAATCTTTCCATTATAAGTACCATATTTTTCAAGGTTTTACTTGTCAATCACATGTTAAGTGAAAGAATCACTTTCAAATGCAAATTACTACAGCTTGGAAGCAAATGAATTCCCCTCCTCCTTCCCACTTTACTCCGTTTTAAAACTTTCCCTGTTTATTAATCATTCACTTTTTAAAAAGCTTCAATAAATATATGTTTGCAAGATCATCTCTGGCAGCTCCAAAAAAATGTCAACACCCACATAAAGGGAAGGAGAGATGTTGTCATTTAGAAAGGCTCCTCCATCGTGTTATTTGTCAAGAAGAAGAAAGATTTTGCAATTCTCACACAAAAGAAATTTTGAACAGAAGAATATCAGCATTTATATAATACTGGAACTATGGCAGAGAAGAAAATAGAAGGAGCCGAGCACAAGTACTGTAGAACCAGAAAGAAGTTTTAAAGCTATGGGTGGCAAGGACCAGGATCATACTGCGCACACACACACACACACCTCTCAATATCTACACACTTACAATGCATGAAAAGTGCCTCTTTCATGCACTGTTAAACGTGTATACCCAGTTTTATATTTATCAGGATTACATATGTTAGACTTGAAATACACTATTTTTAGCATGTATGTGCAAAGCAGACAATCTGCTTTGCAAAATCTGTCTGCAGCTCAACCAATCCCACTATGCTTCCCAGAAGGAACCATCTATCCTCCTTGAAAGTGATTCCAATCAGGAAGGTCCAGGAAAAACCGCTCAACCTTTTCTGCTGCTGCACATTGCTTAGAAATCCAACTAACTATAGGTTTCCAATTTGCCTTGTCTATTATTAATAGACTTCCATCACTGATAAGATAGAACAAGCTGGAATCTTAGGCTCTGAAGCAGATTTCAGATCCTAGCATGTGGCAAAGTTAGTAAGAAAAGCTTATTGGTTTTGATATATCAGGAAACAATGATTAATTGGGAGCTTCTGGGTTGCAATGCCACAAAAAGAAGATATAAGGGTTATGTATTTGATCAATTATGTCATCATACTGCTCCTATTTTCTTGACTTTTCACAAACTGCTCAAGACCTCATTATTTTACATCCTGAGCTAGGATGGGGATTGAGCCTCGTTGGTTGGCTTTTGGAAATTGGAGGTTGGTTTCTAATCACTTATCTTCTTTTTCTATGTATTTCCTTTTAATTTTCATCTGTCTAAGTCACTAAGACATTGGGCAGCCTCAAAATTGAAATAATTAAAAAAACAAAATGTGATCATTGGAATACAAATACTCCTAGATTTGTTTCCATCTTCTTATTGAGGCAGAGGAACAGTCCCAATGAAACAAAATCATTTCCCACTAGTTACCTATAGAACCCAAAGGTGTACTTTTCTCATGATTCTTCCTGTTTGTCACTCAGAGGAAAACTAAAATGTTTTATTCACAAAGAAGTAAGATCAAACTTTGTCCCGTACAAAGTTCCAGCTGACAACACACCCACTTTTATCCCCTGTGGGCTGTGGCTTGATGACTCAGCTCATTCTCTGACCCTCCTACTCCTCCTACGTTGCTGCTCACGTTTCTCCCTAAGATGCTGCTTAGGATCAAGCCAACATTCTTCCTCTTGACTCCCTGTCAGGGGTTGCTCCGATATGCCTTCCTCCTGATTAATCTCAGGCTGTTCCTCTCGGTTGTCTGATGAAACCTGAGGCATTATCAGGGAGGAAGGCATTGCCAGAGAGGAAGGTCCTGGGGAGGAAGGCATTCCCAGTTCCTCCTCCTCATCTTCCAAGTCCTCTTCCTCTAACAGCACAGGCTCGGGAATCGGAGACACAACATGAACATATTTATATGACCCTGACACAATAAACTAAGCCATTCCTGTAGAGTATTCATCCAAGTCCAGAGCAATCATCATTTCAGGATAGCTACTAGTCAAAATCTGAAATCAACAATAAACTACTGCTCCAAATTCAGGGATGAACTAAGATCATTCATTCATTCTCATTAACTGACCAGTATACCTAAGTATGCCATTACATATCAATGAATGTCTTATATGTCTGAATAAACCACCTGAGTTGCCCCATCAACTCAGGTAATTCTTTTCTATACCAGAATAAGCACTATCCCAAAGACATTCACTATGTTTTCTTTTTGATTTGATTGTGTTTCTTATCCAATCCCATTTTCACCTCTGCTGTTTCAGATCATGCAACAAAAATTTAATCAAATTAAGCTTTAGATGCTCACTTTGTTTGTTACACACACACACACACACACACACACACACACACAAAATCTGCAAGCAAACTCTTCTTTTTGTTTTTAACTAATAAATTTACAACATGTTCTATTGATTGGGGATCAGCATTTCAATTTTTTAATGGTGAAAAAATACTTCATTGTATAAACAACCAGTGAGGAAGATCTGTAAATGGGCGAAAAAATCCCCCAGATAAAAATGTTCCAAGAATATAGTGAGTATGAGTGGGTGGGTGGATGGACGGGCGGATGGACAGATAGATGATAGATACAAACAGATACTATATCCTTTGCATACATCTTAATTTTATATTTTAAATGCTATGTCAGGGGTCCCTAACCACTGGTCCACGGACCGGTACGGTCCGCGGAACAACTCCTACCGGGCCGCTGGCTTGCTGGGCGCCGCCATCTTTTTTTGATGAAAAAGTGCTTCCGGTGAGCTTTTCTGGGTAGAAAGCTCACCGGAAGCACGTTTTCATCAAAAAAAAGATGGCGGCGCCAGTGCTTCCGGTGAGCTTTTCCGGGTAGAAAGCTCACCGGAAGCACGTTTTCATCAAAAAAAGATGGCGGCGCCAGCGCTTCCGGTGAGCTTTTCCGGATAGAAAGCTCACCGGAAGCACTTTTTCATAAAAAAAAGATGGCGGCGCCCAGCTGATGCCGGTACCGGGCCGCGGCGCCCAGCTGATGCCGGTACCGGGCCGCGGCGTAAAAAAGGTTGGGGATCACTGTGCTATGTCATATAGTATGCCTTAGTTTAATTGTGATGCTTCTGACACGAATCAACAAACATACATCTTAATCTGAAGGGAGCTGATTATCTATCACCAAGCAGAAAGCACACAGAAAGAAAAATTGTGAATCACCCAGGTGGCTCATGCCTTGTGTCCAAATTCTTGCAGGTTAAAAAAGAGATAAGCTGCAAATACAACGTATGTTGTGATCTATTTTTGGAAAGAGAAAAGATTGATTATATAGTGCGAAGATTATAGGCATAGGAAAGCATTCTGGCTAAGCTAAAGTTTTGCAACTTGCATGCAATCAATATGAAAACAGAAATCAGTCATTAAAATCAACAAGAGGATATCACTGTTGCCCCCTGATGCTGTTGTTGCCAGAATATTACATATTACTTACCAAGACCCTCCCGAACCCCAGATTTTTCTTTGTAGTGCTTGTGCTTCCCCTGTTGCTCCAAGCAGGGAAGACCTCCAATCTTTTCAAAACAGAGCTTCTTGTTGATGAAGAGGGAGAGGACTGCAAGGAGAACTATAAAGACCCCAACAGCAGAGAGGAACCCAATTGCTTCAGGAGTAACTGGGAATAAAATGAGAGAAAGCAAATAGAATAAATGGAGATTGTACAAAAAAAAATATGGCAGAAATGCATGAACTGCATTTGCTACCAGAGGTGGTATTTAGCAAGTTCTGACCAGTTCTGGAGATTTTGAGTAGTTCAGAATACCACCTCTGGTTGGCCCCGCCCCCATCTATTCTCTGCCTCCCGAGTCCCAGCTGATCGGCTGGGTCTTCTTTTGTTGCCCTGCACAGGAGAACGGAGCTGGAAAGCAGGATAGTGGGGTGGGGAAAGAATGGGGATTTTACAGTATCCTTCCCCTGGAGTGGGGTAGGAATGGAGATTTTGCAGTATCCTTCCCCTGCCACGCCCACCAAGCCACGCCCACAGAACCGATAACCCACAGAACTGGTATTAAAAAAAAAACACTATTTGCTATCAGCGTGTAGATATTAGGGATGTTTACAGGGATCACCAGGAAGAGAGAATGAGAGAGTTGTAGCAGTTAAGATGCTGTCTTAGGTGCAAAGGTTCTAGTCCATCCTCAACCATACAGGCTCAAGGACCCCAAGGACATTGACTCTTTCTCAAACCATCTCAACTAACAATGTTATTGTTATGGCAAAAAAACAGGAAGGAAGGATGCTACAAGATCCTAAATGAAATTACAGATATACAGCTAACGAATAAATATTACTTTGTCTTCAGGATGAAAATCATCACTTCTGCCTTCCCATCATAATTTGCAATGAACCACAATCCATTTCTATGAAAAATGGACAATGCAACCTCTGAAAGTCGGCAGCCAGTGGGCTACAACTAGTGCAGGCTTCCTCAAAGTGATGGTGATGTTCAATTCCACAGGCATCGGATATACAGGCAGTCCTGAAATAGCAACAGTTCACTTAGTGGCCGTTCAAAGTTGCAACAGCACTGAAAAATGTGACTTATAACTGTTTTTCACAGTTAAGACCTTTGCAGCATCCCCATGACCATGTGATCAGATGCTTGGCAACTGTTTCTCATTTATGACGGTTGCAGTGTCTCAGCATCATGTGCTCTACTTTTGCAACCTTTTGACAAGCAAAGTCAACAGGAAAGCTAGGTTCATTTAACAACCGGCTTACTAACTTATCAACCGCAGTGATTCACCTAACAAATGTGGCAAGAAAAGTCATAACATTCACTTAACAAATGTCTCACTTAACAACAGAAATTTTGGCTTCCACTGTGGTCGTAATGTTCTGACCCAAACCTGGTTCCCAGAGAGCAAACACAAGACAAAGGCAGCAGCACAACCTTTTAATGTTTCATCTATGAATTCTGTTTCTTCACAGATAAAAGACTGATTCCAACTCATTAGCTCCGACAAGAAAGAGCCTTGCCAAGTTTTTTCAAGTCTGACCAAAAAACAACAGATAAGAAATACTTTACAACACAAGAGTCTTCAAATACCAATTGTAATGTTCACGAGGCTGAGTTTCAAAACATCTTTGCTTCCTACAAAGAATGTTCACTTCACAGCTGGCTTTTATCTTCTTGAAGGAGGGGCCATTACCTTGCAGCCTTACTGCCGAGTTGCCCATGCTGTTGTAGCTGCTCTTTCCTGCGAGCAATCCTGCGTGCACGCACACTTGGCACAGGCTCCTCAGGAACCTCCTCATCGCTGCTGCCAGATCCCACAATCTCTGAAGGCAGCAGTCCACTCCCTAATGGTCCTGGCCCCTCATCTGAGTCCTCACTCTCCTCAGCCGTCCGCACCTGCTACTGGCTAACCACAACACTTAAGTTGAGGACTACCTGTAGTAGCTGCGGAATTAGCTGAACTTCAGAAAGGGAAAGGGGCATGTAGAAATGACTAGACTAACCACAGTAAAAAGGGAACATCAAGTAGAGTTCCTGGCTTTGGCCATGTTCATTTGAGGGGTAGTGGCGCAGAAATTGTTTGCCATTACTGCCTTCTGGGATTTTTTAAAAATGCCCCCCTTATTTTATAGTTTCCATTAAATCTGTTCAGCTACGCGACTGATTTAATCATGTTAGACTAAACTAGGTTTAAAACTCCACTCAACTGCATTATCTTGCTTTGGTCTAGGGATGACAAATGTGGCCCTTCAAATGTTTGAACACAGGTAGTGCTACTAAAAATTGAAACTGAACAATACCTGTTAGCCACAGACAAACGTGTACAAGTTAGTGCACTGATTAGAAAAATAAAGCTGTTTCCATGGCAATCCTAAGATACAGCTTTGGCTAATGACCAAGAATCCTCAGTCTATTTTCATAATTAACAGGCAAAGAAATGTTTGAAAGAAATCTTTTACAATATACGTTAATGCAAACAGAGCATCTCACTTCAACTACATAAAACTAGTGGGTCTTTCATCAGGAACAAATCTTCAGCCACCTGGGCACATATGTGTGTGTAAATGAAGACACTTCGGCTAAGGCTGTCAGTGAAGTACAGTAGTATTACTGCACATGGCCTTTCATGTGGAGACTTCAAGGACAATGTAATCAGAAGCTATTGTCAATATTGCTACAAAAATAGCAACCAATTTGGGGAACAAGCCCACCATGGCTTCCAGTCAAAAGAAACTTTAGAAGTAGCTAGCTACTGACAGTTATACAGTTCCTGCCTTCCACCCTGATGACCAGCAGAAAGGTACACTAGTATAAAGGTAGTCCTCAACCTATGACCACAATTGAGCCCAGAATTTATGTTGCTAAGTGAGAAATTTTTTAATTGAGTTTTTGACCAGTGGTGGGATGCTGCTGGTGTAACAACCGGTTCGCTAATTGCACCCTTTACGCGCATGGGCAGCTTTCAAAGCTACTTCCCTTCAATGTTACTTCGGGGAAGTAACACAGCTGAGGCGCGGCAATTCGCTCTGCTGCATGAATCAGCTAAGCAGATATAGGTGAGTACAGCGCAAGGGTGGGTGGGCAGGCCCACATGATTGTCAGAGCAAACCAGTTTGGAGCCAGCTCTTCATCAGAGCTAGGGGTTTGCCTGAACCAGCAGAATCCCACCCCTGGTTTTGACCCATTTTATGGTTTTTCTTGCCACTTTTGTTAAGTGAATCACTGTAATTGTTAAATTAGTAACACCGTTGTTAAGTGAATCTGGTTTCCCCATTGAATCTGCTTGTCAGAAGGTCGCAAAAGATGATCACATGGCCCTAGGACATTGCAACCGTCATAAATGTGAGTCAATTGCCAAGAGTCTTAATTTTTGATCACATGACCACAGGGATGCTGCAACTGTCATAAGTGTGAAAAATGGCCATAAGTCACTTTTTTAATGCTGTGGCAACTTTGAACCGTCACTAAACGTACTGTTGTAAGTCAAGGATTACCTGTACTTAGTAGACATCGAGAAAAGTTGCAGTACAAGAGAAAGCATTTCTCACTCTCAATTGTTAAACGATATGAGCAACATCAACAACAAAATTAAAATATTACTGACTCACACATTATACTAGACCATAATGGATATATACCTGGTTGTATCCATAATCCTGAATACAGCTCTGCAGGGCAATCCAGTATTATCTATACATTTTGTATTGGGAAAAGGGTATAAACTTTAAATAGCACAAATAATGATTTGCATTCTGCTGGGAGATTAGCATGTTTCCTTTAGCAGTTGTTGGGCCAGTGTGAGAACAGACTGCTTGGCTAGATGGACAGGGGCATGATCCAACAGGACAGTGTTTTACGTTTTCTTATTATAATACCAACCATTTCAAAATGAAGAGACACGTCAACTGAAACTACATGCTTTCAATTATACCAATGTTGGTTTCTTAGAGGAAAAGGATTTACTGATTATCCCAAAGGTGCTTTTTCGAGAGACAACTGGACTTTCTTGTTTTTCTTTGAAGACGTTTCGCTTCTCATCCAAGAAGCTTCTTTAGCTCTTACTGATGGTGGGGAATGGAAGGATTTATATTCCTTTAAAATAATGCAAATGACCAGCTGTCTGCGAGGTTTATAAATCTTTCCATTCCCCACCATCAGTAAGAGCTAAAGAAGCTTCTTGGATGAGAAGAGAAAGAAAAACAAGGCAGCCCAAAAACAAGACAACCCTAACCCTTGATGACTGAGAATAGACAGATTTATTAATTTATTAATTTTTAAAGACAGAAATCAGATTGTCACATCTTAAATCTCCATCTACCCATGTTCTGTGCCTTTAATGATCTCATAACATACTTAAATACGTCATGTATGCATGCAGTGCAGGGAAAACTACAGCTAGTGAATTTTTTGCCTATTGTAAAATACAGTACTGAAAATCTGAGAAACTGCATCAACTGAGTTGGAGAAGGTGAGAAAACAAGAACACTTAACAGAAGGAGTTAAGTTTACATTTCTTTCAGATTTAAAATCCTCTCTTAGGGCCACTGGCAAGATTCATTAGATGGCTTTGCAATTCAATCTCAGACTGGCACAAAATAAGGCTGTAGAATAGTATATGCTACAGCAATTAGCAAGTAATCATGTCCAAGAGTGTTACCATAAGTGAAAGACATGTTGTTCAAGGCATGCAAGTTAAAAGCATCTGTCACATAATCCCAGACATTTGACTATTCCCCAGCATTTGCTTTCTAAACAGAGCAGCTTCTTAGCATCACCAAACTAGAAGGGAGGATTCATTACAAGGTGGCTTCTTAAACTGCTACTTGCCAGAGACAGCACTGTTCTCAGCAATTGCTTTAATTCTAATTTATTCCTGACATTTGGGTGGGAGGTGGGCCAGAGAATAATAAGGAAAGAGTCACTGGTACTTTTCCAATTATAATTCTGCCACCTCCCAACCAGTAGTCCATAAACTGCCTCAGTTATAACCATTTGTGCTAATTGAACTTCATTATACATTTGTAGCAATGTGTTGTTTTCCAACCGATTCCTGCGGTACCCTTTCTAACCAACGGCTAATTATACCGCACGTACATGCACACATACACAGAAGACATCACACCAAGAGAGCTGGTGAGTGGGCAGGAGCTTGGAGG